TCTCTCTTTCTCTTTCTTTCTTTCTTTTTTTTTCTTCCTTCCTTCCTTTCTTTTTTTGTAGCTCCAACAAATAAGACCTATTTTATTTAAACATCACCATAATATCATGATCACACCTAAAGCAACCCCAATAATTTCTTTGTTTCATCTAATAATGTAGTCCTGTTCAAGTTTCCCGAATTGTCTCAACTATGTCTTTTTACAGTTGCTTTGTTCAAATAAGGGTTCGCTCAAGCTCCCACAAGGTATTGACGTGCCTTTTGTATCATTTTAGATCTATGTGTTCCCACCTCCCTTTTTTCCTTTGTTGTTTAGATTTGTGCAAGAAACTGCGTTCCTCTTTTTCATGTCATCTCAAAATGTTTCTTTGATGGGGTCTTTCCTGTAAACAGGCAGATTGGAGGCTCAAGGGGGTCTCAATTTAATATTTTGGGGGCAAGAATAATTCAGAGGGGGAGCTGTGTGCTTCCTGCGCTGTTCACGGGTTTTGTTTCTCTTCGGAGCCCTCTCCCACGAAGAAGTTGTACCAGCTCAAGCTGGGAGGTGGAAATCCTGCCTAACCCAGCACCCCCCCCCCCCCGGCCATCTCAGCATCTCAGCAGGAGCACGTGGGAAGGGAAACAGAGCCAGGCCCTCTGCAGCAGCTGCAGGGAGCTCAGAATTTGACCCCAGGCTGGTTAAGTCCTGGCTTCCAGGTTCACATTCCTACAGGGATTAGGACCAGAACCAGAAAACGCCCACAGCTTCAGGCACTCCCCAGGTACCGAGAGACCCTCTACTAAGAATACATTTTAAGGTTAAAAGAGCTTTACGATTTTTAAACAGATCAATTGTTGCCTGACACGTGATTAACACAGCGAAGTATCTTGAGTCCATCAAAAATGAGGGGAGCCAAGAACATCCAAGAGAAGAGGGAATGAATGGGACCTGCCCCCTCCTCACCCCAAGACTGGTACCTGAACTGTCGGGGGACTGGCTGGGAGAAGACGGCACGATGCCTGGAGTCGGGTGCTCCACCCAGGTCGTAGTCCCTCCTGCCAGACAGACTCCTCACACTGGCCTGCAGCAGACATCCCTACGCTGGGCAGAACCTCAGAGCAGGTGGCATCAGAGACCCAAGCTGGAGCCCCCAGGCGAGCCAGGGGCAAATCAAGCAAACGCTCTAGGGCGGTACACCCCGAACATACGTGCAGACCACAGCCCTGAAATGCAGCGGGCGGGAGGCAGGGTGTGCTGTGCGGATAAACTGCACACCAGGTACTGGAAGACGTCTCCTTAACCTGTTCATGTTGATCACATTTTGAAATGATACTATTTTTGATATACTGGGTTAAATACAAGAGATTATTGTTAAAAGAAAGAAGAGTGAATGAATGATTCTTCGCAGATCTTCTCAGCATGCGTCGGCCTGATGTCGCCCAGCCCCTGACACATCACCAAGGCCCTGGGCTCGGGGGCCGCTTTCCCCTTCACCAGTGGACAGGGCACTGTGTCCCAGACTCGACCAAGAGCCAGCTACGCTTTTTGCTCAGGGCTGTGGCCTGGAGGAGCTGAGAGCTGCTGAAACAGGCAGTGGTTTTCAAAATCACTGAAGGCAGCCACAGGCTTTAGAAATTGCCTGGAGGCTTCTGACACGTGTTTGGCTGGGCTGGGGTGGTTCTCCTGGAAAGAGGCCGTACTGCGGCTCAGATGCCAGCGGAGTGCGTGCCAGATGTTCAGGGCTGAGCAAGGCAGGGAACTTGACAACCAGGAATGGAGGCAGAGGGGGAAAAACAAGCAGAGGGAACATCCACCGTGACATCACTCTTGCACAAGGCGAGGAAATCCCTCCCTCTGAGATGCAGCCTTCTCAGCCGGGTCTTGAAACGTCAAGGCACTGACCTTGTGTCCATCTGCACGTCTGTCACTGCATGCGAGAACACTGGCCCATCACCCATTACTTGCCTGGAGACCCCATAGCATCATGGTTTGAGTCACAGGCTGCAGAGTCAGACCTGGCTTTAAAGCCTGGCCTCGCCATTTACTAGCCGGGTTCTTCACCGTGGCCGAGCCTCAGCTTCTCCATCAGTAAAATGCGGATGCCAACCAAATTGTTTTAAAGATTAAATATCCTTTTATTTAATAATTCCTGCAATCCCCTTAGCATAATGCCTTAGCATGTTGAAAATGCTTCACGCTCTATTTTTAAGACGTGCCCAAATTATTTTATCATTAAAGGCAAGTCTAGGAGACCCTGTTTCAGTTCATTGGTTTTCTCTGTACCATTCAGGGCTGGATTTATCTTTCTGGGGGTTATTTGGTAAGAAGACTATCGGTAGTTCTTCCGTCAGAAGTCGGGAAGACCTACGTGCACCAGAATGGAGTGGGCTTGGGGTTCAATCCTGAAGAATTCTTAGCCTTTCTGGAAGATGTTTTTATAATACGAATCAAAACCTATCAATGAGTTTGTGTTCCTTGCCCTGCTTCTCAAAATGTAACAGCAGACAATGATTAGCCAAGTGGCCAGTCCTGTAAACATAACACACTCCTCCATGTGCTGTCTGCAAGAGCATAAAAAGGAAATAATTCCAAGGTCTCTCATGGCTGGTGGAGGGCATAAAAGTTCTTCAGCTGCACTGTCTAATACTGTAGCCACAGTGGTTACATGTGGTATTTAAGTTTAAATTTGTATCTGCAATTCCTCAGTTTCTCCAGTGCTCAACAGCCAGGCACACATGACTGGCATGGGCCATACTGGATTGCACAGGTACAGAACATCCCCGTTCTCAGAGAGGTTTCTATTGAATAGTCCTGCTTCATGGCCATCCATGTTTTTAAATACTCTTTAAAAACATTGGGTATATTCATAATCTTTTTTGGGGGGGGTAGGTAATTAGGTTTATTTATTTATTTTTAGAGGCGGTCCTGGGGATTGAACCCAGGACCTTGTGCATGTTAAGCATGCACCTTACCCCTTAAGCTATATCTTCTCCCGCACAAATCTTTTTTTTAATATTCATAATATGATGGCAAGTAAAAATATCAAACTACAAAATATTTAATGGTAACATGAATTCAGATTGGCTGCAACAAGTTTAATCATCATTATCTTCTTCGATCTATGTGTTTTTAAGAGGAATGCCAAACTCTACCCCATGAAGCCTGTTGTCTTAAAGGAAAAGGAAAATCTGAAGGTTTGCAGTTGCACAGGAATTGTATGAGACACACATGGAAACCTAGCACATGGCGTCTACTCTGTAACTGCTAATTGATTCGAATTCCAAGCAGGAATTATTATGCTGGATCAGATATAAGGCCTGACTCAACACTGTGTTCCATGGTCCACAGTGGTCTAAAAAGAAGCCAAGATTATCCTCCTGTCCACATCTATTATCCACCTACCAAAATCACAAGAAAGCTTAGCCAACAAATGACTTTTAAGAACTTTGAGTACATAAAGCAAAGAACTTTAGAGTGTTTGGTAACCACAGAATGATTGTGAGGCCTCCCGAACATCAATGAATAGTCAGCCACAGTGGGCAGGGGGTAGCTCAGTGGAGGAGCACGCGCTTGGTGTGCACGAGGTCCTGGGTTCAAGCCCTAGTACCTCCATTAAGGAGAATCATTCACAATGAAAGAATGTTTCACTTACCCATGAATACAACTTTGGGAAGTGGTACCCATGTACAAAACCTACAGGCAATGTGTACTCAACTTTCCCCCGACAACCACTAAAAAAAGCTGAACAAAATGTATAGTTTAAAAAAATCACTGCCAACCTAGAATATCACACATACGCAATAACAACATCCTTCAAGAGAGGGAAATAAATCCTTTTCAGACAAGCAAAACCTGAGAGAATTCTTTCCCAGCAGACCCACCTTTAAAAAGACACCTTTTCTTCTGTTAAAGAAAAAAAAATAAAGCCCATTCCAGATGGAAGGCCAGAGATGCTAAGTGAAGAAGAAAGCGCACTGGGCAGGCTGACTGGACGAGACTGCTGCGTCCAGAGTGACCAGGAGTGACTCACAGGACGAGGCTACCTTCCCCTGTACTCATTAGGAACCACACTGCGCTAGCCTCCAAACCAAAAGACCTACACCACATCCTTGTATCCCATTTTGGAATTTATTTAGTTAGTTAGTTAGTTATTTGACTATTTTGAGGTGGGAGGAAATCAGACTCACAGAGAAAAGATCAATACATTACACTACATGATTTTTAAAAGATAAATGGGCCAAAGACTCCATTTACAGATCAATAACCAAAAGAAAATATTTGCAATAGTTTACCAGCCAAGACCAAGCTCCGCAGTACATGGAGAAGCACCCAGGGAGGGAAACAGGGGGGAAAGAGGGTTCTCACGAGGTCTGAGACATCATCTCACTCATTAAACCACATATTAATTATTAATTGATAAAAAACAGGTAGTGAATTAAGAAAGAAAATCTAAGAGATTTCATTTTTTGGCTGACTACGGAGAGATCTGTAGGTCTGGCAACCAGTAGCTCTTTCTATTTCCCATTATGTGAGCTGGAAATATATTATAAATGCACATTTTTGATACTTATGACACCAGAGTAAGACAAGGAATAGCCTTTTCCGGTGGTTTGTTAAAAAGAAAAAGGTAAATAGTTGTATTCTGGGGATCATTTAACTTTTCAGGACAGACTACATGTCCCTTTCATGTCCTCCCATCTAGAATTTTAAGATTCATCCTAAATGCTGTGAGAATATCAGTCCTGAATTACTGAGATACAAGTCCTTGGCTCTGACCATAGGGCAAGAGCGCTGCCAAAGGTTCCATTCCATTGTTCTCGGAGGACATCATTACTGGACAGAATTATTCCATCAGAAACAGTGCTGTTGAGTGGCCTTCTCCGCGTGATCCTGTCTCCCTCCCATATCTACCCTACAAGTCAACTTTAGCTCTTGGCATCAGCTGAATTCCATTCACAGAGAGCATCACCGTCCTGGGCAAACGCGAGAGAGGGAAAAACAGGCAGCTGGCGCTCACTCACCTGCCGGAGCTTGGTCCCCACCATGGAGGCACTGCTGTCGAGCACAAACACCACATTCTTGGGTAAAGGAGGAAGGTCTTTGGGGGCAAAGTAGTGCACAAAATAGCCATCCAGAACCTGGTGGAGGGAAAAAAAAAAGTAAAAATGGTTGTTTCCAGATTAGGTAGGAAAACTAACCAAATGGGTAGTTTATGCAACTTGTAAACATCAAAGCCAGCATGAGAGAGAGTCTAGGGCCAGATTCCATACCCAAGGCAAAAGTATCTATGGTCCTGATCCCTCCAACTAATTGCTAATGTCATCTGCACGAGGATAAAATCATTCCTTAAAAATGTATCGACCACGTTGACCAAGTCGATTTAAATCATCCATCCCTTTTTTGACCCTTGCCACTTGAGAATTCTGCTTCCTTCATTATCCGGTTTTTACGAAGCATCTGTCATGTGAAGACATCAAGACTGTCTACATTCTGGATGCAAATTAATACACTTTGACATGCCCACCCTATCTCTGGTGCAATAGAGCTAACGGGGAAGTGAGCCAAGAATCAGTCTCTCTAAATGAAAATTAAAGACGAACTAAGTTCTAACTTCATCTGAAACACTACAGGGAAGAATATATTATAGGTTTCATTGGCCTCCAGATTATTGAAGCAGGAAGCAGATACCCCCAGCCTCCAGCAAGGGAACATCACCAGTCTTCTCGGAGACTTAACTTGGGGTTAAAATAGATTTCCTAAGAACTGGCAGATCTCTCTCGCTTAGGTAAGTATTGAAATCCCTAGTTCTGGGCCCAAGTAAAAGTATCAAGCAACTAACATGAAACAGCAACAACAAACCCATTACCTGGATGTCCCCAATGCTCTGATCTCTGTTGACATCATATCTAACGATGAAATCTCCCAAAATGCCGTTCTGGGCAATCTTGGCTTGCTGGACCACACTGGGCTTAAAAGTGATTTTGGCAAACGTTTCATTTTGGTTGATAACAGTAGAAGGAGGGGGCCCCAAATCATCTGTAAACAGGATAGAGACATAATTAATAACTAAATATATACATATTTTTCCGAAAAGAAGTAAGGTCTGTTTTGCATGGACACAGAAGGTTAGACTTTTGCATGCCCTGTGAACCCCCCAAAGCTCTGTACCAATAACATGTCACAATGCACAAGGTGCGTCAGCATATGTTTCACCTCTATGTCTCCTTTTAAATCTTTTCTTGTAAGAATTTTAAAAACACACAAAAATGGAATAGTAATATGAACTCCCATGTACCTGTCACCCAACTTTAACAATGATCAACTTTTTACCAATCTTTTGTGTTTTTATGTGTCTTCTCATCATCTTTTGCTAGAGTATTTTATTTTTTAAATTTTTATTTATTTTTTATTGACATGTAGTTGATTTACAATGTCAGTTTCAGGTGCACAGCAAAGTGATTCAGTGACATATACACATACATCACATACATACATATTTTCAGGTTCTTTTTCATTATAGGTTATTACAAGAAATTGAATACAGTTTCCTGTGCTATATAGTAGGCCCATGTTGTTTATCTATTTTACATACAGTCATGTGTATCTGTTAATCCCAAACTCCTTCCTCCCCTTCTCCCTTTGGTAGTCAGTTTGTTTTCTATGTCCGTGAGCCTATTTCTCATGGTTTATAAATAAAACTTGTATCTGTTTTTTAGATTCCACATATAAGTGATATCATATGATATTTGTTTTTCTCTGTCTGACTTATTTCACTTAGCATGATCATCTCTAGGTCCATCCATGTTGCTGCAAATGGCATGATTTCACTCTTTTTTCTGGCTGAGTAGTATTCCATTGTATAAATATACCACAATTTCTTTATCCAGTCATCTGTCGTTGGACATTTAGGCTGCTTCCATGTCCTGGCTATTGTAAATAGTGCTGCTATGAACACTGGGGACCATGCTAGAGTATTTTAAAACAAATCCTAGACATATTTCTTCCATAAACATGTTTCTAACTACAAAAGCTTTTTTTTTAGTGTAACCACAAAACCATTATCACAAGTAACAAAAATAATGCATAGTGTTTTATTATCATCAGATACTCAGTTTGTACTTAAATTTTCCTGATTCTTTAGAAAATGTCTTGGAACAGTTGATGTGTTTGAATCAGGCTCAAAGCAAAGTCACCACATCACATTTGGTTTATGTTTCTTAAATCTCTTTTAATCCACATGTCCCCCTCCCTACCTTTTCTCTAATGCTACATATATGTCTTTTTAAATGCTGGCCATTTGTCCTACCGAGGTTCTCACATTCTGTAATTCATGATTGTTTTCTTGTCCTGTCTTTTAACTTGCTCTTCTGTTCCCCTGGTCTCTGACCTTGTCTTGCATGTGACATGTAGGGGAGCTAGGAAAAGTACGGATGCCCAAGCTAAGAGCTTATTTAAATGGTCTGGGGCCAACCGGGGCATCGGGACTTTTAAATTCCAAACATGCAGTCTAGGCTGAGACACACAGCTCAGTCCCTTGTATTTCTTTGTGTTCTGATCAGTAGAGCTAGAGGCTGGTTAGACTCTGGTCCAACACTGTTGACAAGAACACTTCTTGGTGATGCTGAGTACGTTCTGTTTCATCACACCAGAAGGCACATGATATCTAGTTGTCTACTGTCAGTGGTAGTAAGATTAATGGCAGGTTCCTGGTATTGTGAATCTGATCACCCGTGATAAAATTCCTCATCACGCCTTCCCTTAATGGTTCTATCAATCACTGATGATGTCTGTCTGTTCACTATTTCATCAGCGTTGCAAAAGGGTGGTTTCTAATTTGATCATTCCTTCCATATGGAATTCCTCCATAAGGAACGTTTTTCCTCCATCAATTCTTTGGTTGCCGTAACATACCTTTTGTCCAGAAAATTTATGACTTTTTTAAGAAAAATCATTTCCCAAAACTTTCCCCAGCGTGAAAACTTAGGATATAAATTCGAATTCCAGAAAGAGGAACAGATAAATGGATTTTATGGGAGTTAAGAAAAATTAGTGAGATGACAGATTAAACCAAGAATATCCCATTTTTACTCCCAACTTTCATTTCCCTCATTAAAACACACTGAAAATTATTTTGCAGGCTACCCACCTTTATAAATCCAAACAACACCATGTCTACATACTGAGCAACAGAAAGCCAAATTTTTGAGATCTGCAGGCATCATGAAGAATATGAAAATAAAATGGAGAATTTGTACACTTCAGTATGTGGAGACTCCTTAACCAGACACTGAACCAAAGCCTGGCTTACAACTACCGCAAAACATTTGATTATCTTTTAAAATCTATTCAAGCTGACACCAGCGAGAAAGCTGACCAGCAATTTCCCGTCCCTAATTAGCAAAGTGAAAAAGGAAACGCGGCAAAATTGGCCCATGACAATTTGTATTCAAGAATAAACTTCCTCCTGCTAAGGGCTTAGGAGACAAAAAGGCAAAGGGAGTTTAACCTTTTGCTTCAACAGAACAGACAATTATTTTTTAGACAATTTAGTTGTCACCTTAACAGGAACCACACAGCAGAACTGATTCTTCAATTATTTGCACTTATCAAGGGCAGGAGTATTGAGAGAGACCAGAGGGGGTAGCAAGCTGGAAAGTTCATTCTTACAGAAAGACAGTTGTACACATGATAACGTACTTCCAGGCATGCTGATAAGAGGCAGTCTCAGGGAGAGGGTACAGCTCAGTGGTAGACAGTGTGCCTAGCATGCACAAGGTCCTGGGTTCGAGCCTCAGAACCTCCATTAAAAAGATGTATAAATAAATAAACAAACAAACAAACCTACTTACCTCCCCCCTCAAAAAACAAAAGAGGCAATCTCCAGTTCACCAGCCTGGTGTCTGATGATGCCTTAGAACCATTAGACAAGAGGCTGAAAATGGAAAGGTCCTTGAAACGAAATGAAACTGTGTTCTCTGAAGTCTGTCTCTCATTGGTGATTGTTGGTAAAGCACCAAGAACGAGAGGTCTGAAAATGCACCAGCTGTGAACTCAGGATCACACATGAGTCCGAGGAACGCGCATTCGGTACTGGGTTTGCCTCTTATTACTCACGAGATGCTGGGCAAGATTGAGCCTTGGTTATCTCACCTGTAAAATGGACGAATGGTCCACCACAGTCACACTATTGAAATGACTGTCATGTGATGTATCTAGCGCCGTTCTGATTCCCGGTGAGCAGTCACGCCAGCTAATATTGTTATCAACCTTAAATAGGTGCCACATAGGAGAGGGCCAGCAAATTCAATGTAAAATAATACAGCGTGTCAAATTTAGGTTACCACATGCCACGAAAAAGAAGGAACTTCTGCCATTCAGGACATGGTTGAATCTCAGAGTCACGCTGAGTGAAAATACAAGATACAAAAGAAAGCATTCACTGTGCTTGCATTTATGCAAAGCTGAAGAGCAAGCATAACTCAGTCACGGCAACTGGGTAGAGCAGTGGGTCCCTCTGGGGGGTGAATACTGACTGGGAAAGACAGTGACCCTCCCGGAGTGCAGGAGTTACTCCTCGTCTTGACCTGGGAGTAGCCGTATGGGTGCATACATATTTAAAAAGTCATCAAGCTGTCCACATAAGATGTACACACATTATTCTATGTTTCCCTCCAATTAAAAAAAAAAAGAGTTCATTGGGAGTTGGCTAGCACAATAGCTTGAACAAGCAATCGCCTGGAGGGAACACAGCATTATTTGCCAAATGGACCTCTATGTTATTTGCTGCAGGGGAGGTGTGTTCGTGTAAACATTCATGTGGGTATCAGGTGTGTTTGCATGGTTCCAGCCGGCAGAATCAGGACGAGGTACCAAGCTATGGGGAAGCACCTTTCACGCAGCATCTGTAAGCTCTAAGGAAGATGTCCTGTTGGCAGACGCAGCTTTCATGGCCCATCTCCCTAGAAGTGCCCTGGCCAACGTGGGAAGGATGAACACCTGCACGGACGGTGCCAGCCAGTTCTCACAATGTGGTCCTGGGGCCACCAGCAGCAGCATCACCTGGGAACTTGCTAGAAACACAAATTCTTGGGCTCATCCCAGGAACTCCGAATCAGAAACTCTGGAGGTGGGACCCAGGCATCTGCATTTTAAGAAGCCTTCCAGGTGATGCTGGTTCCTGCACAAAGACCGCAGTCATGTGCCTTGGATGCATGGAACTGGGCGGCACTGAATTCCATCCTACATTAATTAGATCTGAGTGTATACCGTCAGGGTGTACCTACTTTTTCATGTTTCAAGTCTCTCTCATTGAAATGGTCTTTACAGCTACCCTGAATTAATACCATTCATGACTGAATGAGAGCACTGAGGATTAAAAAATGTAATTTCTCTCGCCATAATTCATTTGACTAGGCTCTTTGATAGAAGCCATGAGAAAGGATAGTGTATTATTATTTTGGTTTCCTACTGACCTCTGACGTTTGCTGGTTCGTGATGAAAATTCATGAGATTCCTCTAAATGGGCTTATTTTATGTGCTCGAAGAGTGGGCTGATTCCCAGCTGGATTTTTCACCAAGGAGCCCAGCTCCTGAAATTGACCTCCACCCACTAAATACCAGTCAGTGTGACCCAGCCACATTTTCCACCACCTATCAAAAAAAAAAAAAAAAAGAAATCTGCTGGGAAAAATTCCAGAGTAATATCCCTAGAAAATAAAATCCTCTTTTTATTAGAGAAGGAAAAAAAAATCAACAAGGTTAGTAGAGGCTGCCCAGTTACCAACCAAGATCTCAAAGCAGAATATGACCATTTAGCTCTCCCTTGCTGTGAGCTGGGGCCCATCCGGCTGACTGCCACAAAATCCTAAGCAAAATGAGCTTTACTAGCAGGGTCCTCGGCAGACAAGGGATGTGTCCTCACATAGTGAAGAATGGAAAGGAACCGGGTGGGAGCAGCCAGAAGAGGGGAATCCGACCTCCTTTTCTAATGAGAACCCGAGTATCTGTTCCCCTTCCTGGTCTCCCCTCCTTCGTGC